GGGGGGCAGTAATGTCACTCCACTTGTAGCCTAAGTGCCATGAGTCTGGAACTATGATTTCTTTTTTTTCTGATGGGACTTGCCCCACGTCAAAAGGGGGGCAAGACAAGAAATCAAAGGATAGAGGGAACAAAACTAGATAAAGAATAAGTAGATAGGATGTGAAGAAGAAAGGGCACCAGCAATAATAACTTCTGGCATCATTGGGTTGTCTTGTTCATATTCCTTGGGCAAGGGTTGTCCTCCTCTTGTCTATAAAATTCAAGAAACAATGTGTGTGCATGTATGTGGACATAGAACCCTCACTTTCCACCCTTTGTTCACTTGCCAGGTGTTGAATCTCCATGTTCTAGCAGCTAATCCAATCAAATTCTACTCACAACGTCCTTTCCCTCCCAGCAACATGCTGCCCCAGGCCTTGAAAGCACACTGCAAAATGCAGGAGGCTCCACAGAGATATGAGTGTTGACACGCAGGGCCCTGAGATGGGCATACTGAATACCAGGATACTAGAGTGACCAGTCTACCCTGTTCTAACTAACCAGGCAATGGATGCCATATAACCTCTGGGGACCTGGTTATTCTGGGAACTAAACCACTTTCAAATAATCCAGTCTGAAAAAGCACCTTGAGGCTCCATGAGTCTGATTCTTCGCTATAAAAGAATGCAAACTCACTGCCTTTGAGGCGATGCTGACTCCTAGAGATCCTATAAGACAAGGTAGAACTGCTTTTGTGGCTTTCTGAGACTGTAAGTCTTTAACAGAGGAGCATGCCCCAGCTTTCTCCCCTGGAGCGGCTGATGGTTTCAACCTGCTGACTTTGTGGTTAGCAGCCAAATGTGTTACTACTAACCTATCAGGGTCCCTTGCCAACCCAATTCTCATGTCACATCACTGCTTATCACCCCACTTTCAGCTCCAAAACCAATCAAAGAACTACAGGAATGGCACATGTATTTTTAAAATCAACCTAAATTATTCATTCTATCTCCAAATTGTTAGTCTCAACAAACTCTTCTCAAGAGTCTGACTGCATAAATAGGTTAACAAATACTTCAAGAGTATAGCTTATACCTCATATAATCAACCCCACGTCCTCCAGAGGCTTTGGCCCAAGAAACTGCTGGGAATGTATGCTTTATTAGTTACTTAGAATAATTTCCTTAGCTAATTCTAAGCATTTCATTATAATCCACAAAATCAGCCCACTTAAGATTCCCAAGATGAATTCTTGTAAAGGTGCCACACATCTCAAGCTTTGTGATGGCAACTACTAGTTAGAAGTGTTATTGTCCATTTCTTTCAGACCCTAATTCGCTTTTGTGGGCCAAGAAAAAGACAGCTGGCTCCTTCTGGTGGGATAGGGAGGTGGGAAGGGCCCACTGTCCATGATTAATTTTCCCAGACACAGAAGGCAGCTAGCTTAAGTTGATTTAAAGTGCAGATTTTAGGAGCTTAGTGGTCTGGGTTCGAATCCTGGCCTTTGCTATCCTGTGCCTCAGTGTTCTGCCCATAAAATAAATGGGTAGACTATTCATAATAATGACCTCATGAGAGTTCGTGTAAGGATCTAATGACTTGGTTGTAAAGACTAATCTAGCATACAGCTCTATGTAAGCACTTGCTATCACCACCATAATCACCATCACCATCATAATCATCAGCCTTTACCAGATCATGCTTCTCAGCCTACTGAGCTAGTCCTACACATTGGCAGAGAGGAGGGTAACTTCCAACCTGCTCCAGCAATGTCACAGCTGTTTCTTCACTAGGCAGACAGACATGGAAAGAAAACAGACTCACAAACAGAGGAGAAGTAACCACTCATACAAATGGAAAAATGTTCATGAAACGAGCCAGTTTCTCCCTCTTCAATGGTCCTAGTGGTCAGAAGAAGTTTATGCACATTCCAGAAGGAGCTTTTTCACCTCTGAGAGACAAGGGGTTTGGAATTCTTCTTTTTATTTTAAAAAAATAAGTATTAGAGACTTTCTGAAAGTATCATCACGTACAATTTCCCCAAAGATTTCCTACCTTTCCAGACAGGTCATTAGAACATCCCTGGACACTGATTTTTGACATGTCCCCTCTTAAAGTGTGTTTTTCCTTAACTAGACTCTCCAACTGGGAAGTAGTTGAAGCTGGCATTAATCCTGGAGTGGTAATGTATAAATTACACTGAGCATTTGAAAACCCGGTGTCCACATCTTTAATGATCTCACCTTGGAAATCCGCGGCATTCTGAATGATTAAGAACTTGAGCTCCATACTTGCAGATTGAAGCAGTTGTTCCATGTTCAATCGCGCTGTGAGTTGGTATTTTTCTTCCATCTTTCTTGAACAGCATGTTGGGCCCTTGGGGAGACATACTTGCAAATCTGATCCTGAAACGAACAAGTTTTTCATGCTTCAGTAAGCAGAATGCAACACATATAGACGCAAAAGAACAGGGCAAAAAAACAACAATAACAATGTCTTTCTTTACAGTATAATCTTGATTATTCTAAATTAGTGTTTATTTTCCCTAATCCTTGCTCTCTTCCAATTATCCTTATGACTGATTCTTTTAGACTAACCATCAGAATGAATTGCCTAGGTTTGATGTATGAATTCTGCAGAAACGAATTTATAGCACTACATATGTCATTGAACACCAATATTTTTTTTTTAAACATTTTATTAGGGGCTCATACAACTCTTATCACAATCCATACACACATCAATTGTGTAATGCGCATTTGTACATCGTTTCTCAAAAC